GGTCTCTCATGACTAAGGCAAAAGGTCGTGTTGACTTGCATGATAATCTCTAGTATGGTTGAAAGCTTCAATTCTTCCCTTATGTAGATGATTCTTGTGCATCTTGGGGCACCAAGAATTATTTTCTTGGCTTCATTCTGTACTACTTCAAGTTTGTCCAACACAGAGGCAGGGAAATTAATTAAGTGCAAAGCATTATAATCAACAAGAGAACTAACAAACATCATATAGAATAGTCTAGCATATTTAATATTGATACCGGTATTCTTACCAGTCTTTTCAGTGGTTTTAGTCTTTCTTTTAGCTTACTGTGTAGATCGTTTACAATGTCACTGTTAATACCAACTCCATGGTAAACTTGGTTGATACCTCGTTGATGTGGTTCTGGAAGTTCTACTCCCCAAGCCCGGCCCGAGGCCAGGCTTGACTTGTAAGAGTTTGGTCCACTAGGCTGTTGCTTGGAGCAACCCGCAGACCCACATATCTACCACAGCCCGGTTGGTCCGGCACTTCTTGGAGGAAACAATCTAGTTTCCTCTTGAAGATGTCCACGGTTATTCCGGGAATATATCTTATGCTTGCTGGGAGGGTGTTGAACAACCGCGGACCTTTGATGCTTATACAGTGTTCTCTGATTGTGCCTATGGCACCCCTGCTCTTCACTGGTTCTATTCTGCATTTTCTTCCATATCGTTCACTCCAGTACGTTGTTATTTTACTGTGAAGATTTGGTACTTGTTCCTCCAGTATCTTCCACGTGTATATTATTTGATATCTCTCTCGTCTTCTTTCTAGTGAGTACATTTGGAGGGCTTTGAGACGATCCCAATAATGTAGGTGCTGTATCGCATCTATGCGTGCCGTATTTGTTCTCTGTATTCCCTCTATTTCAGCAATCTCTCCTGCTCTGAAGGGGGAAGTGAGTACTGAGCAGTACTCAAGACGGGACAACACAAGTGACTTGAAGAGTACAACCAATGTGATGGGATCCCTGGATTTGAAAGTTTTCGTAATCCATCCGATCATTTTTCTGGCTGAAGCAATATTTGCTTGGTTATGCTCCCTTAACGTTAGATCATCACACATCATTATTTTCAAATCCTTTGCATGCTGTTTTCCTACTATGGGCACATTTGATTGTGTTTTGTACACTGTATTATTTTTAAGGTCCTCATTTTTACGGTACCTGAGTACCTGGAATTTATCACTGATAAACATCATGTTATTTTCTGTTGCCCAGTCGAAAACTTTATTAATATCTGCTTGAAGTTTTTCAATGTCTTCAGCCGAGGTAATTTTCATGCTGATTTTTGTGTCATCTGCGAAGGATGATACGAAGCTGTGATTTGTATTTTTGTCTATATTTGATATGAGAATAAGGAAAAGCAGCGGTGCAAGGACTGTACCCTGAGGTACAGAGCTTTTAACTGCACTTGGACTCGATTTTATATGATTGCCTGTTACTCGTTGAGTCCTGTTTGATAGAAAACTGAGAATCCAGCGTCCTCCTTTACCGGTTATTCCCATTGACCATTTTTGTGTGCTATCACTCCATGGTCACATTTATCGAAAGCCTTTGCAAAGTCCGTGTATACCACATCAGCATTCTGTTTTTCTTCTAATGCCTCAGTGACTTTGTCGTAGTGATCAAGTAGCTGTGAGAGGCACGATCTTCCCGCTCGAAATCCATGTTGGCCTGGGTTGTGAAGGTCATTGGTCTCCATGAAATTGGTGACCAGACTCCTAATCACTCTCACAAATACTTTTATTATGTGGGACGTTAGTGCAACTGTCTACAATTCTTTCCCAATGCTTTGCTACCTCCCTTGTGTAGAGGGGCTATGTCTGCTACTTTAAGTGCATCTGGTATCTCCCCTGTGTCCAAGCTCTTGCTCCACACTATACTTAGTGCCTGTGCTACCGGCACTTTGCATTTCTTTATAAATATTGAATTCCATGAATCTGGACCCGGAGCCGAGTGCATGGGCATGTTTTCAATTTTTTTTTTCAAAGTCTAGTACGCTCGTGTTGATATCAGTTATATTTGCAGGAGTTTGGATATCCCTCGTAAAGAAATTATCTGGATCTTTCACTTTCACTTTCATTTTGTTTATTGGAGTGCTAAATATGTCCTCATACTGTTTTTTTAGGATTTCACTAATTTCTTTGTCATCCTCCGTGTATGAACCTTCACTTGTACGAATAGGTTCAATACTAGCAATGTTTTTTAGTTTTGATTTCGCCTATGTGAAGAAGTATTTTGGATTTTTCTTTACTTCCTGGCTTGCTTTCTGTTCTAACTGTCTTTCTTCAGTTTGATATGAGTGTTATCTTTTTTTCATTTTCTCTTTGGGATGGAGAACTCTGGATTTAGTTATAGAGATAACAAGACCATATTCAATGCTTTTAGCAGGGAGTGAATCAAGTAGAGCTTGCAGTCTCGTTTGGGTATTTGCAACAATGCATGTCATCGGCATAACAGATGACGGCTTCGTCAGGTAGTGTGGGAATATCAATTGTTAATTTGTGCATCAGAAGATTGAACAGTGTAGGACTTAGCACTCTACCCTGGGGTCTACCCAACTCACAGGGTGCACAAAGTTTACTATTGACACCCTTGAAAAGGACTGAGGCGGTTCTGTTACACAGGTAACCCTTGAGCCATGTCAACAGTCTTCCCTTAACTCCAAAAGAGGCTAGTTGTGCTAAGATTATTTCTCTGTTTGCTGTATCAAAAGGATTTTGGAGATCAATAAATGCCGCCTGAGAGTTTGGTCCCTCTCTGATAAAATATTCAGCAAAGCAAGTTTGAGTGCTTCTTCCAGGAAGGAACCATGCAGGTTAGGAGCAAGGTGGGGCTTGATTTGAAACATTAGTCTGTCGATTATAATCCTCTTTAAGAACTTTACACATGCACGACGTCAGAGAAATGGGTCTGATTTTTTTTTAATTTGGCTTGGGTATGGGTATTATGAGTCCCTGTGTCCAGCGGTCAGGTAAAACACCCTGCCTTAGACTCTGATTAAACCATTCTAGCAAAGAGCTATTTGGCAGCTCAGCAAGTACTCTCATGGTATTGTATGTGATGCCATCTTCTCCAGGAGAGATAGCCTTACCTTTCTTGAGTGCATTTTTAATTTCAAAGGGGGTTATACCATAGTTATCATCAGGCCTTAGTTCACTACCGGCAATTTCAATATTGACGTTACGATTTATTTTGGTACTAGCCAGATGATGTTGTACATCTAGGGGCAGGCTGCTTATACTGGCAGTGCTTGAATATTGTTGAAGCATTTTTTTTATTATTAATACATTAGGTACATCTGTATTTGTGCAGCTACCCTAACCTATATGAAGGAAAGTACAGTGTCAAAAAGCTAGCTACGTGATGCTAAAAAATCTCCATCACACAGGATGGTTAGTCATACAGAGGCATATGATAAGTAGACTGCACTGACAGACTCTGGATTCGTTATGAGGACATCATGAGCACAAGAATGAATAAGATAGCAGTGATACTAAAATGCCCCCATCTCACAGGATGGTTAGTCATACAGCATTTTTTTTATTAATACATGAGGTACATCTGCATTAGTGCAGCTACCCTAGACTATATGACGTGGAGTACAGTGTGTCAAAAAAGCTAACTAGGTGATGCTAAAAAATCCCCATCACACAGGATGGTTAGTCATACAGGGCCATATGTTTAATAGCCTGCACTGGCAAATTTTGGGTACACTGTGAGAATATCTTCAAGAACACGAGAATGAATAAAGTAATTGCAAAGCTCCAGGTACATCATGCTAACTGGTCTGAAAGGTCTAATAACTGGGCATTCGGTGATGTAGTGTGGGAGATCGCATACAGCAGCACGTACACCCACCTATACAACTCTACGCTTACAAAACATGCACTTTCAACACTCATCTCACCCTTACTACCACTACACCATGTGAACGGCCCAACACATACAAACTCACACACCTACAACACATGTTCACATACTCACCCTATCCTAACCACACATCCCATTAAACACACGGAGACTAGAATCGGGTGCGAGCAGGGCACCTCTCACGCGCTGAAACGGATCGCCTCGTACTCACCTGGACAGCTGTATCACAGGTGCCACACCTGCCCAGGTCCTCGCGCCAGGTTCTAGTCCCCATTTTCCTTATTTGTACACTCATAGTTTTTCTTATGAAGTCTGAACATCATCACTAGGGCCCCCAATTTAAACGTTAATCATCTAGGCTCAGCATTGTTAATTAGTTAACGGTTAACTAACATAGTTAACTGTTATTAGCTAATCTACAATGTTGTTTTGGTATAAGGTATTAATTCAAAGTGTTCTTGCAATTCAACCATTAATCATCTAGGTTTTTTCTATCTGCATGTGAAATTCATTGCAAAATCAACCTCCACTACTTCTTAGTGCACTGTAATTGTTTAGTAATGCCAACAAACTTTTTTTGTTCCAGATTTAATTTAAATTATTGGAAAACTCTAAAACGTCTGTAAAACAGGATTTATTATTGACAAATCCCTCTTTGGTGTCTGGAGAAGAACATTTACTGATTTAAATGTTCGACGAGTCTCCTGGAGCCTTAAGCACTGTAGGCTTGGTAGTGATACTGAGCTGTATTTAGCAAACTCTTGTTTTCTCCTGTCTTTTATATCGGCCGTTGTCAACAACACTGGCGAGAGTGGATGGCAGAGTGACAGTGGATGGGGCCGAGCAGCTGTGTATGGGGGGGGGGGGAGAGGGGGGGCTATGGGTCTGTGGAATGGGGTTAGGAGAAAGCAGTAATGGCTCTCAGATACGAAGCATTGCAACTTGGGGGTTATTAACAAGGGGAGGATGGAGTTAGGTTTAATGATGTAATATTCAATTATGTCCCATAATTTCGAGAAAATTTTTTTTTTACTATGGCTAGTCAACTGGTTGAGTAGTGCACCATTCCCTTATTATAGTGAACAAATCCACCCTTATTATAGTGTTAAAGCAGTGCCAAGATGACACCTCTTGCACTAAGTTTATCGTCGACGGTGATCTTGCATTCTTAAAGAATAAAATACAAAAATTACAACAAACATTCCTTCTTTCTGTCAATACGATAATATAGTTAACTCGGCTGTTAACACATATTTTAGTCTGAAAATCATTTATGTCTTCAAACTGATAGTTATATTGACGAGTTATAAACTTTCTTTAGTATTATGAAACCTTCTGATGTGAAGTGGCACAGATACGCAGTCGAAAAATTCCCTTAAAAATAACAATTGATGGATTTATTTTATTTTTTTACCTATTTGACAATTAGAATTCCTCATTCCCTAGAATCATATAAAAAATTTAATGAAAGTCAGAGGGAAAATTATAAGTCTTTAACGTCCTAGTATTTAGGCCACCTCGCTTAGCTTCAATATTGACATAAAATACTCCTGTATCGGTCATAATTTTCATTATATAAATGAAAATGTATCTAATGAAAATCCACACACAAAAACAGAAGTGCTCCTCCGGGTGTCTCCTCTAGAGCTCACGAGCACTAGCACTATTCTCTAGACCTCTAAAGTATGTTTACTGGTAGCCACAAATGCTAAGACATTGAAAGAAATAAGTCCTTTACTCGACTCCACAAAGATGAGAATCCCAATAATTGTTGTGTATTATTATAAGGCCGCAGAAGACCGCTTCGTTATTCACCGCAAATTAAACATAGATCATGCTACTAACAGTGTAAATAAAGCATAACAAAAAATGTTTTCAAATATCAAAATTTAGGTTGCAATGAATCTATCAAAATGCATCAGAAAGTGTTAAGATTGATGATGAAGGGGCAAGGCAAGACAGTCAGGGATAGAGAGGCAGGGACTGACAGGCAGGGACTGACAGGCAGGTACAGACAGGGACAGACAGGGACAGACAGGCAGGGACAAACAGACAGGGACAAACAGATAGGGACAGACAGACAGGCAGGGACAGACAGGCAGAAACAGACAATCAGGGATTACAGGGACAGTCAGGCAGGGACAGGCACAAACTGACAAGAACTTAAAATTAAAAATCAGAATTATGGAATATATGCTGTCTGTCAGAACAGACCTATAAAGCTCACCATTCTACTAGCCCTTAGTGACACGTGGTATAAGGCATTGGTTACCAGGTCTGGAGAGATTATGTAACAATAAGACGACATCCTGACCCTTATCCTTCCTTCCAAGGTAACTTGACTCAACAACACATAAAAGATATTTCTTGTTATTCTTCAAAATAGTATGAGTAAAGAACAGATCTTGACTAACAGTAGCACTTTACTACCCCACTCCATACTGTACATATTTAAGTGTATTAGTTGTAAGACGGATAAGTATACAGGTTGTACTGTATGCCATCCCTTCGACTTATAGAGTCCAAGGGATGGCACACACGTCACTTCGAGGTCTTAAGCACTGCCTAGCGTCCAGCAGAGAGAGATCCTAGTTTGTTATTGTACCATAATTCTGTTATCCTTTATGTTAACCCGTGGTGGCCGCCTAGATGGGGTAACACCACGCCCATGGACGAACGGAAGACTATATCTATAAGTCCAACTTTCGAAACACCCACCGTTCACTATCAATATTTTCGTTCAATAGCTGCCCAACCACTTCGGGTGGATGGTAGAACGATGGTCTCGCTTCATGCAGGTCGGCGTTCATTCCCCAACCGTCGAAGTGGTTGGGCACCATTCCTTCCCCACGTCCCATCCCAAATCCTTATCCTGACCCCTTCCCAGTGCTATATAGTCCTGATGACATGGCACTTTCCTCTGATAATTCTCCTTTTCCTCCATACCAGTTAAGTAGATGATGCTGTACCCACGGGGGCATGCCACTGATGCTGTACCCACGGGGGCATGCCACTGATGCTGTACCCACGGGGGAAGTAGATCACGCTGTACCCACGAGAAAGCAAATGATGCTGTACCCCACGGTAGGGGGGGGGGAGCAAATGATGCTGTACCCCTCGGGGGAAGCAGATGATGCTGTACCCCACAGAGGGGGTAAAGCAGATGATGCTGTACCTCACAGTGGGGGGGATAAGCAGATGATGCTGTACCCCACGAGTGGAAGCAGATGATGCTGTACCCCACAGAGGGGGGTAAGCAGATGATGCTGTACCTCACAGGGGGGGGGGGAAAGCAGATGATGCTGTACCCCACGAGTGGAAGCAGATGACGCTGCACCACACGGGGAAAGGGTTCGTAACTCATCGAAACAACGAAATTATAGAAATTTTACAGGTTTACAGGTGATAAAGATAAATTATAATCGGAGTTATCATCATTAAGAATACGAACAATGAGTAACAGCGGCTGCCATCTCTTCAGATTACACACAACCAGCATTCGGTACTGTCAAAAGGTGCAGAATGCTTGCAACACTGCAGCATATTGCCTGCATTTTAGTTTTTTTGGCTGGGCTGGCAGACACGCTAATGGAGGAACAAAAAATAGAGCGATGCCTGTGGGTGGACGTGGAGAACAATGGGAGGCCGCTGTTGTAAGACATTAATCAGGGCGTGAATGGACAGAGGAGTCCCACGCTAGCGGAGGCTACTAGGCTTGTGAGGTGCAAGCCTCACCTCCCACAAGGAGACTAATTAGTGCTTGTACGCACCTCAGTTCCGTCATTTTATACGGGTAAACTGGGCCTTTGCATGTGCAGCGGCGTTATTGGCAGTCTGCCAGCTGGCTTCGGTGTTGGGGTGGATGCCTATCAACCTGTGGGAGAGCTATAGACGGCATTACAAGAGTATACTGACGAACACCAATTGATAGATACGTTTCTGCTAATGTACATAATTAATGATTAAAGTAAACTGTCAACGTGTATACACCGATCAGTTAAGTACTCCTCTCAGTGTACATGTACACCGAGAGTGAATATGTACACCTCTCGGTGTACATATTCTGTGTTTATTACACTTGAATACCGTTAAAGGGGGTTAGAATATGATCAACTCCCATAAAAACCCTTAAAAAATTTTAAACATTATAACTGTTTTTCACTGCTAACACGCTCATTTTCTTAACAGAAACAAATGAAGTAGGACGGATCCCATAGTTAAAGGAGCAAGAATTAATGTAGCTAATAACAATGAGGATTTGTGGAGAGACAATAATAACCGATAATTAGGAGACAAAAAGGTATTCTCGTGCAGGATGACGGCCTGTCGTGTTGTGTTGTGTCGTGTCGTGTTGTGTTGTCGTGTTGTGTCGTGTTGTGTTGTACTGTGTCGTGTTGTGCTGTGTCGTGTTGTACTGTGTCGTGTTGTGTTGTGTCGTGTTGTGCTGTGTCGTGTTGTGTTGTGTCGTGTTGTGTTGTGTCGTGTTGTGTTGTGTCGTGTTGTGCTGTGTCGTGTTGTGTTGTGTCGTGTTGTGTCGTGTTGTGCTGTGTCGTGTTGTGCTGTGTCGTGTTGTGTTGTGTCGTGTTGTGTTGTGTCGTGTTGTGCTGTGTCGTGTTGTTCTGTGTCGTGTTGTGTTGTGTCGTGTTGTGTTGTGTCGTGTTGTGTTGTGCCGTGTTGTGCTGTGTCGTGTCGTGCTGTGCCGTGTTGTGCTGTGTCGTGTCGTGCTGTGCCGTGTTGTGCTGTGTCGTGTTGTGCTGTGTCGTGTTGTGCTGTGTCGTGTTGTGCTGTGTCGTGTCGTGCTGTGTCGTGTCGTGCTGTGTCGTGTCGTGCCGTGTTGTGCTGTGTCGTGTTGTGCTGTGTCGTGTCGTGCTGTGTCATGATGTGCCGTGTTGTGCTTTGTCGTGTTGTGCTGTGTCGTGTCGTGCTGTGTCATGATGTGCCGTGTTGTGCTGTGTCGTGTTGTGCTGTGTCGTGTTGTGCTGTGTCGTGTTGTGCTGTGTCGTGTCGTGCTGTGTCGTGTCGTGCTGTGTCGTGTCGTTTTGTGTTGTGCTGTGTCGTGTTGTGCTGTGTCGTGTTGTGCTGTGTCGTGCTGTGTCGTGTCGTGCTGTGTCGTGTTGTGCTGTGTCGTGTTGTGCCGTGTTGTGCTGTGTCGTGTTGTGCTGTGTCGTGCTGTGTCATGTTGTGTCGTGCTGTGCCGTGTTGTGCCGTGTTGTGTTGTGCTGTGCCGCGTTGTGCTGTGTCGTGTTGTGCTGTGCCGTGTTGTGCTGTGTCGTGTTGTGCTGCGCCGTGTTGTGTTGTGCCGCGTTGTGCTGTGTCGTGTTGTGCTGTGTCGTGTTGTGCTGCGCCGTGTTGTGTTGTGCCGCGTTGTGCTGTGTCGTGTTGTGCTGTGTCGTGTTGTGCTGTGCCGTGTTGTGCTGTGTCGTGTTGTGCTGTGCCGTGTTGTGCTGTGTCGTGTTGTGCTGCGCCGTGTTGTGCTGTGTCGTGTTGTGCTGTGCCGTGTTGTGCTGTGCCGTGTTGTGCTGCGCCGTGTTGTGTTGTGCCGCGTTGTGCTGTGTCGTGTTGTGCTGTGCCGTGTTGTGCTGTGCCGTGTTGTGCTGTGCCGTGTTGTGCTGTGTCGTGTTGTGCTGTGCCGTGTTGTGCTGTGTCGTGTTGTGCTGTGCCGTGTCGTGTTGTGCTGTGTCGTGTTGTGCTGTGTCGTGTTGTGCTGTGTCGTGTTGTGCTGTGTCGTGTTGTGCTGTGTCGTGTTGTGCTGTGTCGTGTCGTGCTGTGTCGTGTCGTGCTGTGTCGTGTCGTGCTGTGTCGTGTCGTGCTGTGCCGTGTCGTGCTGTGCCGTGTCGTGCTGTGCCGTGTTGTGCTGTGTCGTGTTGTGTTGTGCTGTGTCGTGTTGTGCTGTGTCGTGTTGTGCTGTGTCGTGTTGTGCTGTGTCGTGTTGTGCTGTGTCGTGTTGTGCTGTGTCGTGTTGTGCTGTGTCGTGTTGTGCTGTGTCGTGTTGTGCTGTGTCGTGTTGTGCTGTGTCGTGTCGTGCTGTGTCGTGTCGTGCTGTGTCGTGTCGTGCTGTGTCGTGTCGTGCTGTGTCGTGTTGTGCTGTGTCGTGTCGTGCTGTGTCGTGTTGTGCTGTGTCGTGTTGTGCTGTGTCGTGTCGTGCTGTGCCGTGTCGTGCTGTGCCGTGTTGTGCTGTGTCGTGTTGTGTTGTGCTGTGTCGTGTTGTGCTGTGTCGTGTTGTGCTGTGTCGTGTTGTGCTGTGTCGTGTTGTGCTGTGTCGTGTTGTGCTGTGTCGTGTCGTGCTGTGCCGTGTCGTGCTGTGTCGTGCTGTGCCGTGTCGTGCTGTGTCGTGTCGTGCTGTGCCGTGTCGTGCTGTGCCGTGCTGTGCCGTGTCGTGCTGTGCCGTGTCGTGCTGTGCCGTGCTGTGCCGTGTCGTGCTGTGTCGTGTCGTGCTGTGTCGTGTCGTGCTGTGTCGTGTCGTGCTGTGCCGTGTCGTGTTGTGCTGTGTCGTGTGATGTTTGACTCGCTGTCACCCATTTTTTGACCAAAGTGCTTCTTAAAAATTCATGCTGAAAATAACGTGGTTATTTTTACCCATGTAAAAATTATGCCTTCAGGAAGTATATATTTTTCATTGGTAATTATGAATGACGAATAAAAATTATAATTTGATTAAAAAATGTATGATTTAAAAATTAAGTTATATCTCCATGAGAGTGTACCAGAAACTTACACAAAACAACATTGCAATTCAACAATACAAATTTTTCACAAAATCACTATAATGTCAGGAATGAAATGAGGAAAAAAATAACAACATTCACGGAAGGCTCACAAACCCAATTATTGCAACGATTCATTTCTCTTATCATAACATTATATTTTAATGGAAAAATTCCAGATATAAAACTCCGAGTTCCATGCGGGATAGCCAGTTAGAAGCATGTGCTTCCTTCCCCAAAAAAAGTTTTTTGGCTTCACCGCGCGATATTGAAGAAACTTTGGAAAGTTTGAAGAGCGGTTACGTATGGGAGTCGTGCTATCAGCGCCGAGCCCACATCTGATTTATTCACTAAAGGAAAATAGATTTTTTAGTGCATGATGAAAGGGCGTGACGACACATAATGCCTGAGGAGAGGAAGCTTGGAAAAGGAGAGAGAGAGAGAGAGAGAGAGAGAGAGAGAGAGAGAGAGAGAGAGAGAGAGAGAGAGAGAGAGAGAGAGAGAGAGAGAGAGAGAGAGAGAGAGAGAGAGAGAGAGAGAGAGAGAGACAGACAGACAGCCAGGCAGGCAAAGAAGGGAAGGGAACTATCAGGGGGAAAGCGCCAAGCCATTACGACTATATACCACTTGGAAGGTGTCAGGATAAGGATTTGGGATGGGGACGGGAGAAAGGAATGGTGACCAACCATTTGGACGATCGGGGATTGAACGCCGACCTGCATGAAGCCAGACCGTCACTTCATGCAGGTCGAGTCTTATGCTTGTCACCGTAGCCTAGCGAGTTTTTTGCCTAGCGAGTCTTATTGGGGTGTTCTCCGTAGCAGAGAGACAGAGAGCTACTCCACAGTAGAGTCAATAGGAATACGAGAGGGCTGAATTGGTAATTATGCTATGGGATAAAAAGATGCACTTTTTGTAATTCCACCGAAACCTTGTTCTCTTGCAAACAGTACATAGCCTAGGCATGACCTATCCATCTATCAACAGTTACCTTACACTTAGGTATACCTCACTATCCATGAGACCAGGACTGAACTGTGAAATCACACCTCATCTACTACCCCAGCTAATAACGATTGTGCACAACCTCACTCCATCTTCATCCTTCTGGGTCTTCTCTATGTAACGACATTTTCTCTGCCTCCGTAGATGTTAATTAGAGCTTCGACGAAACGCATTCTGACCAATAGAATTTTGAAATTAAAAATGAGGAGGAAGGCAATTAGTCACAATAACGTGGCTAAAGTATGTTGTTATATTTCTTTCCTAACTTGTTGGTGCTTAGAAAGAGAGTAGGATGAAAGGTTGGTAACACAGTCAGAGAGAGAGTATTTGGCCCAAGGACTGTTGGAGATAAGGCGTTGAAGTTTGTTGTGTAGTGTGGAGGAATCAATCGACTTGAGAATGGTCCAGGACGGACCGAAACGTCGTCGTCCCTTCACATTCTAGTGTGAGGTCTTGTCAACATGAGGAGGAAGATTCGTACTAGAATCATTAACTAAATCCTTTCAGTCATATTCAGTATCATTGAATTAAAGGAGAATAATTCTATATCATTCAATTATTTGAATTAATTCAAATAAATATTGAATTAAAGGCGAAAGTTTTAAATGTGTTCGAATGGTTTAAACGATAAAAACAATAAAATAAAAGAACCGATGTCTTCCCTCACATTGATATATTGAAATAAATTATTCTGAATTTCACCCCACTTCCCGCAATAAATTTTCAAGACATCTGCGAGAAAAGAGAACATCAATTTTCTTCTGTTTTAGAGGGTTATAACCCCCCAAATTATATTAGAATCTTCTAATGTATTTCACCAAGTTTTCACCTTACAATAATTCTAGCAGCGCGTTACATGAGCCAACTACACAAAAATCGGCTTTAAGTCAACTTCACCACCGACATATAAGTTTCCTCTGTCTCCTTAAACCGCCCAGGGAACCAAGCAGAGCTCGGCTCTAAATTGCTGGTCTTAGTAGCAATATATTCAGGCGGTAATTCAATTTTATGGCCGCTCCTGGCAATGAGCCTGGGCGCTTATAGATAAAAGTGGGCGTTTATTGGTCGATTTACTTGATGGGCGACGCGTTGCTCACCTGTGCTCTAAGTCACCTGTAGTCCTCACGCTGGCCCACACATGTGGTCCTCACGCTGGCTCACACATGTGGTCCTCACGCTGGCTCACACATGTGGTCCTCACGCTGGCTCACACATGTGGTCCTCACGCTGGCTCACACATGTGGTCCTCACGCTGGCTCACACATGTGGTCCTCACGCTGGCTCACACATGTGGTCCTCACGCTGGCTCACACATGTGGTCCTCACGCTGGCTCACACATGTGGTCCTCACGCTGGCCCACACATGTGGTCCTCACGCTGGCTCACACATGTGGTCCTCACGCTGGCTCACACATGTGGTCCTCACGCTGGCTCACACATGTGGTCCTCACGCTGGCTCACACATGTGGTCCTCACGCTGGCTCACACATGTGGTCCTCACGCTGGCTCACACATGTGGTCCTCACGCTGGCCCACACATGTGGTCCTCACGCTGGCCCACACATGTGGTCCTCACGCTGGCCCACACATGTGGTCCTCACGCTGGCTCACACATGTGGTCCTCACGCTGGCTCACACATGTGGTCCTCACGCTGGCCCACACATGTGGTCCTCACGCTGGCTCACACATGTGGTCCTCACGCAGGCCCACACATGTGGTCCTCACGCTGGCCCCACACATGTGGTCCTCACGCTGGCCCCACACATGTGGACCTCACGCTGGCCCCACACATGTGGACCTCACGCTGGCCCCACACATGTGGATCTCACGCTGGCCCCACACATGTGGACCTCACGCTGGCCCCACACATGTGGACCTCACACTGGCCCACACATGTGGTCCTCACGCTGGCCCCACACATGTGGACCTCACGCTGGCCCCACACATGTGGACCTCACGCTGGCCCACACATGTGGACCTCACGCTGGCCCCACACATGTGGACCTCACGCTGGCCCACACATGTGGTCCTCACGCTGGCCCCACACGTGTGGTCCTCACGCTGGCCCCACACATATGGACCTCACGCTGGCCCACATATGTGGTCCTCTGGGCATGCTAAGGGCATACTATTGTATATGTGTGGGAATATACTGATGAAATGTATCTAAGGGAGCCGGTCGGCCGAGCGGACAGCACACTGGACTTGTGATCCTGTGGTCCCGGGTTCGATCCCGAGCGCCGGCGAGAAACTATGGGCAGAGTTTCTTTCACTCTATGCCCCTGTTACCTAGCAGTAAAATAGGTACCTGGGTGTTAGTCAGCTGTCACGGGCTGCTTCCTGGCGGTGGAGGCCTGGTCGAGGACCGGGCCGCGGGGACACTAAAACCCCGAAATCTTCTCAAGATAACCTCAAGATAGAAGGTATATATATATATATATATATATATATATATATATATATATATATATATATATATATATATATATATATATAATATATATATAAGTATATGTATAAGGTCCTAGTCAACAACGGCTTCTCCAATGGTTTCGTGGAAGACATCATAAGAAGGAAAGTGAAAAGCCATGCAACCTCTGAAGAGACAACTAACACAACACCTATACCCCCTATTAGACTATTTTACAGGAACTTCTTTTCCACAGCCCATAAAACGGAGGAAAGGGTCCCGAAAGATATTGTCAGTAGAAACGTTATCCCTACAGACAAAAATCAGAAGATGCAACTGACGATTTACTATAAAACCAGAAAAACGGCCAGCCTACTCATGAGAAACTCTCCAGACATAAAGCAGAACGCTTTAAAAGAGACCAACGTCGTCTATGCCTTCAAATGCCCTCTTGGGGACTGTAAGCCTCAAAAAACCCAGTATATAGGCAAGACAACAACATCTCTTTCCAGGCGTTTAACGATGCATAAGCAACACTGCTCCATTAAGGAACATATAATCTCTTCCCACAAACAAACCATCACCAGAGAAGTCTTAGCAAACAACACAAAAATCATCGATAGATACAGCGATAGCAGGCGGCTTGACGTCTGCGAGGCACTACACATCAAGACGTCAACACCAGCAATCAACAGCCAATTAATGCACAACTATATTCTACCCACTTCAAGACTCCGCTCCAATATAGAAGCATCAAGAAATATGGACCAATAGGCTTTCTACAATTACTTCCATTCAATACCCATTGTTTCGTGTTCTGTCTTGTGTTAGAATTTAATACCCATTGAATACCCATTGTTGAAAGTTCGTTTTCACCTCATCCACCTCACCCAAATGTAGATATAAACTCGAAGATGTGCAAAGCTCTATTCAGTTTCAGTTGTGTGTTTGTAAACTAAAGTCTTTGAAAATGTAATAAGTTTCACGAAACGCGCTCAAGTGTCGCGTCAGACTAGAAATAAAAATGAATTTTGGAGAATTGATCTTTGAATTACCATCAACAGTGAAAAGAAATGTAAGAAAGATAGAGAAAATTCGTGTTAGAATTATTAATCTTACTTTTTCGGTCATATTTAATAATATATGTCTACAGGAAAGACTGCTACCAAAATATACTAATATATATATATATATATATATATATATATATATATATATATATATATATATATATATATATATATATATATATATATATAGTATACTAGCTGTACCCGGTCACGTGTTGCTGTGGCTCAACAATGCATGTGCGTTGCTGAACCACAGCAACTTTCCCCTCTCAGCCAGTTCTCCCAACCATTCACCCTTCCCACGTCCCCTCGTCCTCCCAACCATCACC